GTATTTGTTATGGAGATCTTGAAGACGTTAAGGTTCGTTAATTGTACAAGTAATCCATTTAATAATTAGGTTTCGAATCTCAAGTTTAAAACGTGAATGTCGCCTGCTTTTGTAATGCGGCACCGCCTTCTCTTTCGTTGTTCCCATTGTTGCCTCTTAAGGTAAACGCAATTACTGACAATTACGGGAAACGCGTACGTCGAGGATTTTGAGGACCTTAAGGCTGAACGCCCACATCCGGTCATCTGCACGAAGAAACTATCGCAACATACCTTCTTATACCGGTGCATATAATGTCAATAACGAACCAGAATGGCGTTACTGTTATAGAAAATAATAAAGTACAAGTAATTGGATGAAAATAGATTCGAGATATATCCAAAAGGAGCAATTTCTAATGTACGTACAGCTTCGGGGTTTTTACTCGCAAAATGTGAAAATTACTACGGTTAGTTATTGTTATACAATACGCCTCGGAATATTTGCAAAATGTCGCATTCTTTTTAAAGCGTTCAGAAATAGAAAGTAAGAAAATTGGAGATCTAGACCAATTTAGTATAGGGAGGTATAGCGAAAAAATAATGAAATAAATGAATTAAGTATTTAAATAATATTAATTCCTCGTTTTAATTAACAGACAAAAGGAAGAGGACATAAGGAAATAACCGAAAAGAAAATAGAAGAATGATGGCAAATAATAAAACAAGGGAGAGAGACAATCAAGAAAGGGAAAACCAAAATAATAATAAACTGTACCGTCCTAATTCGTTTTTTGAGTAAAAGTCGTTATCGATTCTTTTTGTTTTTGAACAACTTTTTTGAAGAAGTTTCTACTGAGGAAAAAATTATTAGGGTATAGATTATTAGGTATACAAAAATTTAAAAATAATACATAAAATAAACAGAATAGGAAAGATGGATACTAGTAATAGTATAAGTACAAGTCAAAAGGTAGAAGCAAGAGATAAATAGACAGCAGATGTATAGGTAAAACTAAGTCATAAAGAAAGTGCATCTAATCTAATAATTCCATTTGCATTCTTTATTGGTGGACCATTAATTTAACTTTTAGCGAAGAAGAAATAACAGAAGTAATCAAAGACTATGCCCACGAAAGAGAAAGCTTTAGAAACAAACAAAAGAACAACAGGAAGAGAAAGCATCCTGTAAAAATAAGAAAGACAGGGGGCATAGAAACGAATAGTATTGTATAGGGTGTCCTATTAATAAAGGTGACTCGCCATACCTAGGGGAGATTTTGTTAACAAAAGAGACAAAGAGAAATCGCTAAAAATTATTTTTAAGTTTCTAGGTTTCCCGGTAGATGGCGTATGATGGGTAAATAGAAAAATGATTTTTTTCCTAAAACATACCCATAAAAATACATGCATTGCAATCTTGCATTAATTTGATGCACACATATTGCGCTAGCTCGTAAAGGGGTGGGACGGGGAACATCTCTTTAAGGAGTTGAATGTAATGTAATATCGGTTTAGGCTAACCGATTTTCACATACCTAATTGGTCTTATTGGTATAAGATATCTTCGTGTAATCTGATTTTACATAGAGTCTTTTGCTATTATCAAATAAGATGAAAAAGTGAAAATATCAGTAAAAAACTTGAAAATAATTTCCAGCGATTTCTCATGTGCTGTGCAATTAACGGTTCCACACATATGGTCTGTGACCTTAAATAATTAAATAATAGGGCATCCTGTACATAAATATAAAAAAAGCAAAATAGGGAATAAAAGGTCTAAAATTTAATTGTCCAGGCGCCACCTGTTCCAACAAAAAAAATCGTTTTAGCCGCTGCAGTAGCTATTGGCACTGGACCTCGAAACAAGCAATTAGTTGACGATTCAGTATTATTTTGATTCCAAATGATTATTTTAAGGTATCATAAATTTAGGTCTTACTTTTGCTTGTAGCGGATTAACACCATGAAGGAAAATGAAAATCAGAAAATAAAAAGCAAGAAAAGAAGGTCTCATATTTATTTGTTGAAAATATAGATAGCAGGAAAACTAAAATAGATACAAAGCAAAAAAAGTAAGTAAAAGAGCAAGGGAAAGAAATCGGCGTTAGATTAGCAATTAACTGATGCCTTTTACTTTTATTTCAAATGATTATTTTTTGCTAGATCAATATGCCTGCGTAGCTCAGAACAGCTTACGTTAGAAGCTCTAACTTTGGCTACAAGGGTCCTGGGTTCGAATCCCAGGTAAGGCATGGCTGTTTGTGATTTTATAGTGGGTTGAGTGGGAAGAGTAGCAAATTGCTAACACTCCGCCCACTATAAAAAAAGGCAATAAAATTAAAAATTAAAAAAAAAATTCATTTTAAGTTGTAGAAGATTTTAGATAAAGACTATAGAAAAACTAAAATACGGTAAAAGCATATCGAGCGCAACAGAGAATACAAAGGGTGTAGAAACATAATGAAAAAAAGTAAGTAGGAATTTAACAAGAAGGATAAAAATAGAATATAAAGATAAAGACATAGCTCAAGAATTAAGAAAAAGAACAGAAGCAATAAAAAAAAAGGTTTCTATGAGTAGAGGAGACAGGAAATATAGAAATACAATAAGGTAAATAAATAGCTAAAAAAGCAAAAAGTAGTTTTGTAGCAATTGCTGAGCGCTTCATTTGGATTTAACTAAGCAATCAATTGATGCCTTAGGTTGGTTTCTGTGCCAAGCGATTTTTGCACCATCACTTTAACTTTTACGAGTAGGTATAGGTACAAGCCTCAGTTTTACTGATGATTATTTTTTTGCTGGACTGAATTTTTAGTTGTAAAGGAATTAACAGAAAGAAATAGTGGAAAAGTAATATAGAGATAAAGCATATTCGATGTAAGTCACAGAGCAGAAGGAAAAGAGACCAGAAGATAGGAAACATATAGTATTTATATTTTATATTATATTTAAATTGCAAGAAGTAGAAATCAGTGGCATATTAGAATACGCAGAAAGATAGACAAAAGAAAAGAAGCGGTTTCGCGATAAGACAGTACTCGTAAATATAAAGAATTACTCCATTTGATTTTACCTAAGAAACATAAGAAATAAGGCCCAAAATAAGAAGAAACCATAAAGAAGGAAGAAGAAGGAAATACAGAAAAATCGAAATCAAAAAGGGCACATTGAAAGACCTCAAAGTTGATTTCATAGTACTTTGTGCACTTCTTAATTTCGTTGTAAATGCGCGATTGACTGAAGTTTTACTTTACTCCGGTTGACCCTCTTTTTTGCACCGCTTATTTAATTTTCAATTGTAGAATAATTAATAGAAAATAATCAGTAAAATAGAGACAAAGCACAAGAAGTAAACAGACGAATAAATAAAGAAATATAGAAACCTAAAATGGCAATTAAATAGCAAGAAGTTAATAGCAAGAGATAGTATACAAAGTATATTCAAAGTAAGCTAAAGACAAGTAGGAACATAAAATAAGAAAGATAAGAAGTATAAAAACATAATAAGTAGTGTGAACAAATAGCAAAAAATAGACAGGAAAAAGTGTCATATTAGAGTGCTCAAAAATATCACTTGTTGGACGACCTCCCTATTCTCCTTAGTTAAACAGGCAATTAACTGATCTGATACCTTAGTTTTACTTGTATTTCTAATAATTATTTTCTTACACCATCCATTTAACTTTTATACACAGAAGAATAAACAGCAAAAATTAAAATTAGAAGCAACATTTAAAAGAACAGAAGATATGCGAAAATTCATCCTGGAAGACAGACATAAATAAAGAAAAAAATTACAAGTAAAGCATAAAAAGTAAGAAAAGAAACAGACGGAAATACAAAATCACAATATATAGTAAAAAAAAAAGAAGTGCAGGACATTAATTGTTTAAATATATTTTCCCTTTATGAAGAAGTGGATTACAGAAATGAAAAGTCCTGAACTAAAATGAACCAATCAAAACTAATTGGCAACCAATATGGAGCAGAGTAAAACGGAAAGGAGTCAAAGCTGAAGAGAGAAAAAGCATGTGAAGATAGATAAAGTGGAGATGATAGATAGCAAGCGAGCAAAAGAAGATTTTAAGCGTAATCTACGATCAGGAACAATTAGAAGTTAAATCAAGTGCGCCTAGTATTGGTGGTCCGCATTTCAGAGAGATTGATGCAGCATTTAAGAGATATTCTATAAGAGGTAGGTGTATTTTTCCCTCCAGGTCAAAAATTAATGCATCACGTGCGAAATTCGCTAAAAGTAAGTGACGTTGTGCCTTCGAAAAGATCTCATTACTTATATTTTACAAAGCTTTAAAAAAAATGCAAAGAGGAAATGTAGAAAAAAGGAACGGAAACTAAAGCTACAAAAATTTAAATTAAGATGAAAAAGAGAAAATGAAATGAAACTGCAAGGAAAGCTAAATTGAAGCAAATAAAGTAAACGTTAGGGGCAAGTCAGAGGACATAAACGACAGGAGAAATTAAATCAAGAAATACAAAACCGATGGAAATGAGAAGAAAGTAGGTACGAATTGTACTTTTAGTAATAAAATGAGTGAAGTTTTTGGATACGATTAGTATTGGAATTTAAACGAGAAGATCATAAAGAAAGAAACAGTTATAGTTAAGGAAAAAGGAAATTAATATAATGTAAAAAGGTTTAGACAAGAAAAATTTAACGAAGAAGAAAGAATGAGGCCACGCTCATTTTGATGATTTACTCCTTGAGCTTTTGATTGATGAAGAAAAAGAAGCGTGCGGAGCGATAATTATACAGCGATGCGAATGGAGGAAGAGAGCAAAAGGGTTAAATTACTAGACGCAGAAGACGATGATGCCATTATAAAATTATAAATGATTTTTTCTTTATCTCCTAATTATCTATTTAGAAAGAAAGTTGTAGTTTAATTAATCATTTTGAACGCACGCACGATACTAATTTGTTTAAATATAGTATGAAATATGATTATATATGAAAAAAAAGCGTACGTGCACTCAACCCAGTTTTTTTGTAAGAAAAAAGGTAGCTCGATCACATTGCCCGAAACAATAATTTAGAAACTGTATCAAAATGATATCGAAGATTGGGAAATATTTACGCTGTGTGTGAACGAGGTCATATCTGGTCGACAACTAATTAATTCTAGAATTGTAACGTGTTAGTAAATCAATTAAAAGTAAATTTTATGGGATTAGTATAAATTGCGAAATACGATCCATATCGATACTTGTTACTTGTAGTACTATTTAAGGAAAAAGTAGATAAATAAAGCGTTCAATTATATTGGTATAAATAAAAAGTTGTACATTGTGAACGATGATCAACGTCCGTTCCCAGTGCAAATATAAGATAACGATTACCGGCGATCATCATCTTATTCAATCGAAGTATTTTGTAGTGCCGCGACCAGCTGTTCTTGCGAAGAAAAAACTGGAGTAGAAAATCTTATTGACTTGACTGATGGTTAACCGTTAATTGTCATTGCGACCTCCACAAAATTATTTCATGGTAGCAAGCAACTTCGGCCTAACAAAATTAATTACAATTTAATATCGTAATCGTGTTAAACGAATTTGCATAAATCCATCAATCATTTACTATTAACTAACACGGTTATTTGAACATTATTACCGGGCAGGAAGATATCACAAAACAATTACGGCAGTCAGATCACCAAAACGCATCAGGTGTTGGTGTCTGCGTTTGAACGATGGCCGTCGTCGACCTCCTCATTTACCGTTGGGTTTTCGCCCTCGTCGTCTTTGTTTGTCGACTCCGAGCTCGTGGACGACCTGGACGAGAAGTTGTCCTTCTCAGAAAAGTACGAGGAATCGCGCTTGCTTTCGTCGGGACTCTTCTCCTGGGACAGCTTCGACATTTCGTACATTTTGGCGGGTAGGGTTAGGGGGAAGTTGGGTAGCGATCGTGGCGGTTGGAGGTGAGGCAGCATGCGACCGTCGGTGACTTTGCCCATGAATGAGCGTATCTCCTCAAAGTAGGAGTCGTCGCCGACGTGGGTGCGTGACAGGTTCCGTCTTTGTAAGTTGCGTTCGTCCAAAATTGTCGGTCCGTCCGACTCGTGCTTCTTTAAATGTCTGTCTAAATTCGTCTGCTGTCCGAAGCAACGTTCGCAAAGGGGGCACTTAAACGGTTTCTCCTTGTTGTGGATGTTGCGGACGTGTCTTTGGAGGTTGCTCGATATGCTAAACGATCGTTCACAGTAACGGCACTTGTAGGGTTGCTCGCCCGTATGCGTTCGCAAATGCCTGGTTAAATTCGCGGAACGCGGAAAGACCTTCCCGCAGAATTTGCACGCGTACCGGTCTTTCAATTTGTTTCCGCTGGTGTCGGCGAATACTTTTGGAGGTTGTGGCACTGAAGGATTTCGCAGCATATCGAAAGGAACTTGACTAACGGGTGGACTTAACATAGTAGGACTCAAGAATGGATATCGCGGGGGGTAAGCGGGGGGCGAGCTGGGGTAGTGCAGCGGCAGTCTGGGTACTTTATCGGAACCTTGCGCTCTGTACATCGCTTCCAGCATCATCGGGTGGATCGGTTGAGGGGGGAATAGGACTGGGTATCCTGGAAGTTGGGGGCTAAACGGTTTGTTGGCGTTGCCATCGACTGACAGCTCTTCTTTGTCGCTCAGACTGGCGGCCGGCGAGATTATGTTACGGTTCTCATCTTCGACGTGCCTTCGCGTTATCCGTAGCTTCTTGTGGTCGACTCGTAGGTCCAGGGGTTGATCGTCGGAATCCTGCGGGCCCGGGGGAGGACGTCCGGCCGGTGACATATGAGGCCCTGGCGATCTGGTGTTGCGCGACAGATCGAAGGGCATCTCGTCACCTGGAGGCACTCTAATCGACAAGGGGTAGACGGCCGCCTGTTTTGGCGAGCTGTAGCCTCCGGCCGCTACCAACATCTTTCTGGGCGACGAGTCCTTTTCTCTCATGGTTAATGGTCGACTAAGAGGCAGCGGGGGAAGGTACCGAAGCCACGGACGGCCCGTATCCACCACACTCATGGGAACTTGGAAAGTAACCTGCAACAATAAGAGAAATAGTTACGCCGGGAACAGAAAAAAGTAATCGACATCATAAACTAAGTTCAAAGACTCTGTTAATCTAACTTGTCAACAATAAATAGCAGTGTTTTACAGTTCCCAAAGATTTTTCTTGAGTTAGCGTGTAATAAAGTTCCTTGCGACAAACATATCTTATGGACGTGACATAAGTGCGGTAATGTGCCAGATAACAGCACTAGCGTTTGTGATGCGACGCGTTTACATGAAGACGTAGTGCGTGAGATGGAGTACGGACCGAAGGGTAATAAGAATACAATGGTACCGATGCCGATTAGTGGAGGTCAAACGGCACGAGAACAGTTGAGTAACCCAGCCGTCCGAATGTTGCAATGACGACGCTATAAACAAAAGTGTCGGTATTACCCCAACTGGAACGTGTGTATGGGAAATTATGATAATGCGTTCTTTCAAAGTGAATCTGTTAACAAGGCAACGTTTATCTTAATATAATCAACCGTTTGCAACACATGTTGAGGCATTGCGGGCAAAAAAATCAGAGTGTTAAGAGGTTGAATTCTTTCTTCGCCGATATGTAACACACGGAAGTGTCCGATAAATTGTCCTGTCAGGCACCCACACCCATGTTAGGGCCGCTAGTGGCTAAACAAGTAAAAATCCACTTATAATCGTGACTTCCATAGACCTACATAGACAAATTGTTAGAGTCCGTTAGATGCACGTACCGCGAGATTCGAAGATAATGCAATGTATTGATACAAATCTACGGATCATTACAAATTAATACGCACTCGTCAAAACAAGCGTCGGTACTTTCACGTACCCTCTTGGAATATTAAACGCGTACTCGAGATTCTCAGAATTAAGCTCTTCATAAATTATTGATTGCTAAACGCTTCATCGTTCCTGTTTAAATATTTATAATGTGATTTCCTTCTAATTAATTTAATTCGGCAATTCACGTGCGCATTTCACGCCCGAAAAATTGCGCGTTTTCGTACTGGTATATGTCATTTTACGTCAACTCCTCGATTAGTTTTGACAAAAACTTAAAAGACGAGCGAGTGATCAAGGTTGGCAGATAATTAATTCGAGCATTTCATTCAAAAATTCAAATTTGTAACATCGACAAGGTTATTCAAATAACGATTCAACGTGCGAACTAGTTTTTGTTATTAGACGGATACAAAATCCAAACTTAAAAATAAGTCAATCGTTAATTGTGTTGAATTCCGAGCAAGGGGTTGCGTGCCTATCCACGGGGCGGACTTACATCAACTTTAAATGTTTGTGTTAAAAATAGTTAAAATTATTACTGTAGATGAAGAGAGATACTACCCCCTCAGAATTAAAATTGAGGTGTAAAATTTGACTCGGAAACCCCAAAATAGAGGTAGTGACCATTTCCTCTTTACGACCTTTGTATTATTTTAATTTTCATTCTCTAAGAGAAACTAACTTTACATTTATAGTTCATCTTCCTATTGTACTATTTCTAATTATAATCGTCATTTTGTTGCTATATTTGGAACCCTTGTATATGCCTATACTTAATTAAAGAGTTGTTATATTGTATTATTATATTGTATTCGAATTACTTAAGCACTTCTTTTAATATGAAAATAATCCTCAATTAGTAATCAAGTTTAGCCCTCTTTGACCTCATGCAAAAAATAGATCCGTACAGTTCTTGAAAGGAAGTCCTTTTGCACTATGTTAATGACCTTGAAGGTGACATATTTTGATTAAATTAATTTTGTGTTTAGATACTATAGTTAGAAATTTGGGAAATCTCTAAAAATTCAAATCGTGCCTATTGTCGACATAATATTAAAGAACAATCGATGCAACTCTTTTGAGTAGATTTTACAGTATATATTTGACTTTGGTTTTTGCAGCGATACATTACTCGATTCAGAAGACGGTACAGAATAGCCCAGATCTGGTTTCTGTACCAACGGATGTTGCTAAAATTCGCTAATTCTCGATGAGCTAGTTCGAAATTCGAAACACCCAATACCATACATACTAACAAGAAACCAGAGCCTATAGATCTGTTGGAAACAAAATTTCGCACCTCTAGATAGATAACAATAATGGTTGTCACAATTGTGTCCACCAAGATAAATCACACGTACTTTTCTGTATTTTCCCTCATGCGTTTCCTTTAATTTTTCCACGTGCGCGTTGCTTGTTTGTTGCTTTAGAGAAGATTCTGCGTTCATAATGGTTACTTGAGAATTTTTTGTAAATACTCCATTACCTACTTTACTTATGTCTTCGTAAAAAGAGCTTTTTGTATTGGGTATTATCTCGAGTATTATAATACTTAATTCTCTGGAGTTTTTCACTCTATTTCTGAGTGCTGGTGGCTGCTCCATCGAATACGCTCAGCGGATTTATATTTAAAAGTAGTTACGCTGTGAGGTAGGCACCCATTTTTAATGACTCAGCACTATTCTTAATACGTATTTCCTTTAGGGATTTATCTTCCCTCTTAAGACTCCTAATTTTCTTTTCTGGTGTACCTTTTCTTTCATTTTGTTTTGTTATTATCTACCTGGATAGTTCTACCTGCATGGTCATCTGTTGTAAACTATTTACCTACGCCGAATTTGACTGCCACATCTTAGAAAATTACTTGACCGCCATCTTATGTAAAACTAATCACGTGATACATTGCTACTGACTTAGTTCGAACTTCGTCGCAATCCTACAAGATCTCAGACAATTGGCAGACGACAAAGAGAATAGTTATCCACCTACAATTAGCGATAACGTAGCTAATTTTCTAATAGGTAACGACGACTTAGCAAAGCACATCGGTGTCCACAATGTAGAACTGCTAATCAATAAAGACATTTAGTATTATGGTCGGTGTTTCTTGTGAGAATTCAGATCTAGCCTGTTTAACTAATCGCACGGATTAAAATTATTATTATTATTACAAGCAGATCAATGCTATTCTTCTTGAAGCATGATTTTAACTACGGAATGGACATGATGTAATAGCGACTACGCCGAACGAACCGAATTTGGTGACTGAAAATGATACAAAGCTTCTGGGGAGTCTTATGGTGTAGCAGCAGCGATTCAATCTTCTTCTATGGCAAAAAAAAGGCGTATGTTGTCCATAGCAGCAAAAATCTTCGATCCATTGGGTCTGCTAGGTCCAGTAATTGTTTGGTATAATTAAAAAATGGCATAAATTCTCCATAGAATTGCCATATTTGAACTCTATCAAGATACCAAGAAGGATTGTTTCCTGCGATATGTGGCAAATAGATCATTGTGGATTTTGCGACGCATCACCACACGCTTATGCTGCATGTATCTATTCTAGACAAATCCACGTTCATGGTAATATTAAGGATATATTAAATTAAGGATAATCCATCAGATTCTGTCAAGGGAAGTTCTACCAAAAAACTTCTCCAGTCAAACATCTTGGTGGACAAGACCGGAATGGTTAAAAAAAAGCAGAAATCAGTTGCAACATAGTTCAGGAAACATAATACATTGATCTTCCAGAAGACATCGTCTGCAAGCACTCTGCCAAATCAGCTGTGAAGAAATGGCCGAGCTTGTTGAAAGGAGAAGCAGCATGACGTCCATATTACGAATCACAGCATACGTTCTTCGTTTTATTAGAAATTCAAAACGTGCTAATTCGGTCCAATTCAGTGACCCATTGAAAACACATGAGTTAAATATTGCGCTTTACTTTATCATCAGGAAGGTACAACAATCAAACATGTTTCCAGATTTAAAATTTCTTTTAAAGGGGGAAGTATGTTATAATGTTTTTTTACTACTAGCGTCTGATGACATGATTATTAACGTTTTTTCCACTTGTAAAGTAGGCTTTCTCGGCATTTGTTCAAAGTGGTTAATAATGTGGTCATTATTAACTAATAGTCAATAATGAGAACTGTCACGCTATGTCACTTTTAGAAAACACAACCCGAAATTTCGCTCAATAAACGTTTGGACAAGTTTTCTAAAATGAATAATTGCCACCATCCGCCATTTCCAGTGAAATTACATACCTAAAATTATCACATTTTGAAAAAATTCGAACGAAATTACTCTTTGAAAATATCTCAATGACAGAACAAAATACGGCCTGTTTGACTTGTACTTCTACGGATTTGATTGACATGTTAAATTAATAAACAAAAAATTCTGTCCAACCGTTCACTTTCTTATCAATATAATATGTTAATTTAGAGGACTTCAAGTGCTAGTAGTGAAAAAAATAGTATATATACCACGGTAGAGAAATCTATTATTGCCTTCACACCTTACACCCCTCGGCGCAAGCGCCTCGAGATGTAATCTTGGTGCTCAGGCAATAAAACTGGACTTCTCTACCTTGATATACTGTGCGATCAAAAATGAGTTGCTGTCGAGTCACCTTTGGAACTTTTGTTTACATGGGAAATCGTATTTAACTTGAACTTCCAAAGGCGACTCGACAGCAACTCATTTTTGATCGCCCGTTATAATGTACTATTATCAGTTTACCTATGTAATATCATGTCATTAAAATTTAAAAAAAATTGTCACATTAATAGATATTTGCATAAGTCAGGAAAATGACACATTACTGGCGAGGAAATATTGAAGTACGAGGCCCCTTTGGGACCATGGACTTTAATTTCCGAGTCAAATAATGCCATTTTACTGACGAGTTTTGTATTACATTTTACCTGAAATCGTATTGTAATATAAAATTTCAATCTTCATATAGAACTTTTGATTAACGTCAATCTGACATTTAGAAATGTGACAAGCGCGGATGGTAAAGTGACAGGCGGCAGGACAGGTAGTCTGGTATGCACACGCCTCTGCCATGGAAACTGAAATTACCTGACATAAATTATGCATGAAAATGAAGGTTTTATGACGATTTTGTATAAAAGAATTTGTGATCCCTCTGAAAACCAGAGATAATACATAACATTTACGTTAGCAAACGTGCCAAAAGTCTATT